GGCCCATCCTTCAAAAAGCTACGTCCAAGTCCATGCCTACAGTTAAGGAAGGAGTCCCTCATACTCAGGCCTGTGGTATTTTAAATGTTTCTTATGGCAAATGGCTTCAATCTTTTGTGAATTGTATTTGTAGTCTTAAAGTTGGGCTTGTTAAAGCAGTTGCTGTAATCCCAGTAGTGTCTTGTAGTTTTCTACAATGTTACTTTAATGCCAGTGTTGTAGTTTTCTACCATATTGTATTAGGGCAGGGGTGTTGTGGGGAGAGGCTTTTCTTTGCATTTTTTCAGTGTGCTGTGTCCTGTGTGCTTTCAATACCCAAGACCATCAGGAACTCCTAACTCATTGTATGTACAAGTTTCCTTGCGCATCGAGCATCACGTAAGGTGGCTAAATGTGATCATTTACTTTAACATTCATTATTTGGCTAATTGCCTTCATTGCAATTCCTTTGCAATTAGTTACTTTGCTTTGTATCGCCAATACAATGAGTGAACTATCTGTAAAGGATTTTCTTACTGCATAATAAATGCATAGCTTGTTGTGATTGAATACAGTTTTGGTATGCATTTGTTCTTTTTGGGGGGGCTTGTGTGGGGGAGCTTTTCTTGTGCTTTTTCAGGTATGACTAAAGCTTGGAGCTTTGTAGAGCACGGATGTGACCTGGGCTCGAATGACTTCTATTTCAAAGTGGAAAGTGAAGGCAGATAAGTTGAATCCATCAAATATTGGTGTCGAAAAACAGAAAATTCTCAGCCCTATAGGGGTCACTTATCTTGACTGGACTTGCGTGTCCTCATTCTTGAAATGAAAGCAACTTGCTATACTTGACAGTAGAAATAGCACTGCTGTGCTTTCTTAACAAGTCACTTGTGATAACGGGAAGATTTGATGGACCTTCATTGATTCTGACATTATCTGCAGTAAAGCATTTGGGTAAGGATAACAATAGTCAGTTCTACGATACTGTGGGGAGGGGTATAGGGGTGTTTCTTTTCTGCCTCTTTGCTCTTACAGAACAATCCAAAGGAAGAAAGCAGTGTACCTAGGAGAACACAAGAATCACGCTGCGCTTTGAACTCCACCAACATGCAGTTTGAACAAAAGGAGTCAGGTTTTTGATGTTTACATATATTAGAGCATTTAGCCCTCAGCTGCTTGCCCTTGTGCAACTGTGCAAGTGGCAGGTTGGTCACCTTAGCAATCGCGCAACTGTGCGAAGTTTCAAAATTTAAGCAGCTGAGGAAAGCTGCGCATGGTGCGGCTTAATTTGGTCTCAAATGCAGCGCAAATGTGCTGCCTTAGTTTCTATTGTGTTGTGGTTGGGCGTATCCCTACACTTCTCTTCACAGAACTCACAGTGCAAGACTGGTTCAAGCACGAGTCAAGTCCTAACCCGGAGCATGTAGTAAGCTGTTGGCTTTACTTGTCAAAACTTCTGCAATGTTGTAGTTGACAAAATGACATCTTGGAACTGGCTTTATGTTAACCTCAAATCATCAGTAACAATGCTTTACTAGCTTATTCCTCTTTGGCCTTGGGGCCCTATTGCTTTGCATCTTACAACCATAAGATGAGTAGAACCCAAATCTTTTGAGTATTGTGTGGTGGGTGTGTTGTGTAGATCACTCTTTGTTTCAGATCATTCTCGTCTGTCCACTCCGATCTCGCCTGCCTCTGAATGCAAAGCCATCTGTGGAAGCTGTCAGCGATATGAGTGTGGCCCCTGAATGAAGTACCAATCCCCTGTGCGCTTGAGCTTAAATCTGAACCCCTGACGTCCTTCGCAGAAGCCCCCGCTCTCTGTGTTTGTGTGCCTTTTTCTTTCCCTTTGGTTTCTCAGGTCAAATTACCCCAAATTCTTAATTTTTCATCTGGGATGGCCTAACCTGTGATGGAACACTGAGAATCCAGTCACATTAAGATCAAGAGCTGCAAGCTTGTTTTCGCTAATACTGCATCACTTCAGTCTCGTGGGTGCTAAGTTAAGTAATTTCGGTTCCCTTGATTTTTCTTTAACATGCCATGGCTTTAATGTGTAACTCAACATGTTGCATGCACATCAGCTATGCATAACATTTTATTTGTAAAACAATGTTCATAAAGTCGTTGTCAAACATTGCAGTAGTATTATGGTTAGGAGGGTCTGGGGGGGGGCAAACACTCTTCTTTCTCCCTTTTTCAGATTTCTCATTCAGCTTAACTTGCTACTGAACCAGAGAACTTAAAGGTCTGCAGGGAGTCATTGGATCACTTGGTACTGCCAGCCTCTAGGGTTCATTTAATACATTGAAGAGCTGAGCATCAGAGGAAGAATAGCTGTGGTAAATGCTGCATCAGCTGTGGTAAACTACAACAATGTTGATAAATTCAATCTCCCATCATATTGGATGAGTCTTGGTACAGGTGTGGGGTTTGGGTGGGGGGGGGGCTTAAATTGTCTGTCTTTTTTCCCATTGCAGCCATAAAATTGGCAAGAAAGCCTTCACTGTCAGTTGACCCGCGACTCGTGCTGAATTGCAGAGGGGAAAATCGCTTTGACATGGGATTCTGGTATCGTGGTTTTATTATGGCTAAACGGATTTCGTGGAATAATACACCAATACAGTGTCGCTGTGGGGAATTTTGGGGATTGGGGAAACCAGACGTCTCTCTGTTCTAGTTTCAGCCTCGTGACCAAGAGAATCCCCGTGGTGACAGCATAATTAGCATCCAGGTGTCGGGTTTTCTTTTCCTGGAAGAACAAACTGTTTTGTTCTTCCAGGTTTTGCTTTTGCCCTAACTAGCAAAAACAAAAAGCAAAAGACTCCGGTGATGGCACTCCTGACTCTGTCGGGACGGGGTTCAATTCCCTGCGGTGTCTTGCTTTTTTTAAATAAGCTTTGTGGGGCTGAAAGTATATTTAATAACACTTCAACTTTAATATGGCTTCCATAAAAGGACAATGTCTGGGTGGGGAAAATATTTGTATGGAAATGATCAATAAAACTTTAAAACAATGTCTCTGTTTTTGTCTCTGTTCTATAGATAATTACATCAATATTCTGTAAATGACTTGATGAGGTGGGCGTAATGCATAAAGATTACTTGACATTGCATTCCGGCTGTCCTGTGATGATTAGCAACAGCTTTATAAACCTCATTTTGCAATCTGTGTCCTGGACACTACCCTTCTTGAGGTCCATGTCACATGATAACAAATGGAAGACGTGAGGTCAGGAAAAGACCTGAGGGGAGCAGGCATCCAACAAAAGTCATCCTTGCTCTGGATCCTCTTTAGTACAGCAGCATAAAACAGTCCAGCTATTGCTGTATGTTTTGATCTCAGCTCTTCTATGAGATAACTATGCAGAGTATCATGAACAATTAACAGCTAGCTCTAAAGTAGCATTTTGCTATACATGTATGTTATTTTTGGGGGAGAATGGGAGGGGGGGTTGTGGTGTTTTGTTTTTTTTAATGACACTGAAGAGCAGGATGTCTGATCAAGCTTAAAAGAACATATGAATAAGGAAAACTTATTTGTAGACTTCAGCTATATGTTTTGTTGTGGGAAGTGTCACAACCTTATCAGGCAAATGGCAATAAAGGAAAGCGATGTCAAACCTTAAACAGTTTATTTAATTAGTTGGATATGTGGGAATGTTTCATACAATGCGCAAACAAAGAAGTTCATATTGTATTCTTGGGTATTGTATTACTTGTGGCCTGTGACAAAACCAGTAGATTCAATGTTTCTTTCATTGAATCTACCAAAAGTAACAGTTTGAGAGATATAAAATATTATTTTTGCATTAACAAGGTATTATTTTAGGTTGCATCAGTTTACCCTTCCTGTTAAAAAGGTGTTTTTCCTTCCCACCATTGTTCGTAGCGGGACATCTGAAGTTTATATATATTGTAGAGTCTCTACATTACGATATAACGTGTATTGAAGTGACTGTTTTTGTGAATTGGTTCGTATACATAAAATGTAGTTTAAGAAAAACAACTCACAATGGTGTGAATTGTGTGTATCTTTAAAATATTTTTGTAAAATGGACAAGTGGAGGACAAAAGAAGTAATCTCAAGCATAGAAACTATCCACATTAGATGAAGACTAAAGTCAAATTCTTAAGAAATAGGAAAAAAAAAATCCAGCAAAGTCCTAAAATTGGACTCTAGAGATCATCAGACCCTTCAGATGATTCATTCACCGTTTGATGAAGTCTCATCAACAGTGAGCACAGTGAGGGTCTACAGCCATCTGTAAAACACGGTGGAGGCGGCATACTGTACCTTGTTTGGAGAGAAATATAAGGAAACGAAGAGTGGCCCAAGACTTTTTGCACATTAATAATGTATTTGATCTATTTGTTCTGTTTTTAACAGATGAAGTTTACGGTCCTAGTCCTGTCTGAGCTGAAAAAGGTTCACTACGTTTACTTGCTCTCTTCACATTTACATTGCATCTAATAAAAAACAACACAAATTATCTTATAAAAATATGTCAGAGACATATGCTGAGCAAGGATGTCAGCTTTGACTTTTGATTTTTTTTTCATACTTATAAGATCTTAAAAGTCCAACTGATTTAGCGGTAGATGGCTCTGATTCTGACCAAGGAAATCAGCTTGGCATGGTCAATAACTTCCTTTAAGGCATGTCTAAGAACACATATTTTTATGGAAAAATTAACTTTATTGCCCTTCATATTTTTTTAAGGATTTAATTAGTTTGATTGCCTTTGTGAAGCACGTTTTAATCTGTAATAGAGAAGTATTCATCGGAATTTATATTTTGCTACACATATTGCAACCGTTTTTTGGACAGGTGACGTTTTTTTAATCGACATTATTTTATTACTACCCAAAGTTCAGTTTGAGGCTTTAATTTGGTGAGAGAACGAGTGAGGGGAATTTATATATAATAAATTAAGTCTTTTATATATTTTTTTTCTCAAAAACCTGAGTACGCTTAACTTCTTGTGGAACTAATAGGCAGAAAAGTCGTTTCTGCGGAGGCATTTAACATCCGTGCCAGTCGCTAGCTAGCACTGTGTAGTTCACCTGTCGCTGTGTGTTTGATGAAGTGCGGAGCTAAGGGGAGATGTGGTCCTTTTTCGCTAGGGATCCCGTGAAAGACTTTGCGTATGAACTTCTTCCAGACAGCCAGGAAAAGTCCGGAATATGGACTCTACACCGGGGAAAGCGAAAGGTAAAAGCGGCATCCCGCTGCTGCTGATGCACTAGCAGTCAGCGTTAGCTCGATCGGTTGTGGGGCCTGCCAATAAGCTGACAAGTCAGCTTTAGAGCTTGATTTAGCCTTCAGATTAAATGTCAGCTCTGTTAGCGTTTTTCGGGTGTTTTTCATTCATTCATTCGTTCATTCAGTCAGTCAGTCTTGGTAGTCATTTTTTTTCTTTTGCTTGGTCTGTCTGTCTGATAATTGTCGCTGACTAGCCTAGCTCAGGCTTTTTGTTTACCCCCAGAGGCAGACACGTATTTCTCGCCACGTCACCCGTTTTAGCCGAGTAACGGCTCTTATTTGAGCTGTTTTAAAGTTAATGCTTTATTTCAGGAATGAAAGATTCCGTCTTAACTGCAGACAGCACTGCATACAACCCACTGCTTCATTATTATCACCGAGAAGCGGAAAGCTATAATCTCAGTGTCATCATCTTCACCGCGGGCAGCCGAGCCCAAACTTCCTACTTTCGTCATCCTCAGTCACATTAAATGTCTTTTCAAAATTCTGTATACAGTACTGACAGTTACTTCTTACTGGTAATATTTTCTGCACGATGGCTACATTTATATCTATATTTAATACAGCACAGATGTAAGGCCACGATACTGTTCACATCAGTCCGATGAAATGGGAGTGTTGGTGTAAGTCAAGCTAGTACATAATTTACCCTAATTTCTGGAATTTTGATTGTAGGGTGAATGTAGATTTTTTTCCTATTATAATTGCTTAAATATAGCTATGATAATATTACCTGTAAATTTATAACACCAGTGAAATATTACAATGGAAGGAAAATGGGAGTAGTCTGTTTGAAGAGGATAGCTTCACTTCAGATTAATTTAGTTTTATTTGTATAGCACCAAATGACAACAACAGTGGCCTCAAGGGCTTTACACTGTAAGGTAAAGACCCTATGATATTAGAGAAAAAACCCAGCAGTCAGATGATCCCCTGTGTGCTGTACTTGGCTGTAGTGTGAAGTAAGAAATGTCCGGCAGAACCAGGCTAAGGGTGGGGCAGCAATCTGCCATGATCAGTTAAAGTTGAAGAAAAAGAGAAGAGAATGGATAAAGTAGAGTATAGAGAGAACAGGGCAAAACAGAAAATACTGGAGAGACACAAAATTAAATGGCATGCAAGTAGTGATGTCTGTTAGTAACATGCATACTCAAGTTGGAGTAAAATTTTAGACTTGGACTACAACCACAAAATATTGGCTTAATTAAGAGCAATGGAGTAATTATAACTGGCTACTCTTACTCCAATCTTTCTCCTCAGACCACTGGAGAGCCAGTGTCTGTGTTTGTATACGAGGTGGCTCAGGGCACAGAGCAGCAGACCCAGCTCGCCAAGGCTGCCTTCAAGCGTATGAAGACACTGCGTCACCCTAACATCCTGGCCTATGTTGATGGGTTGGAGGTATGTATTTTATTGTGACTTAAATTTAACAGAAACCACTTTGCTTTAAACACACTTTTCTTGATATTTAGAGCTGAGATTCCATGTTTTGCTGTAATTGTCATATAATTAGTTGTGTCTCATTTCTGTCATCTGCTCTTCTCTGCATATTAAACATTAAGACAGAGGTGAGTGGGAATAGGTTCCTGTGGGTTTATAGTAGTTTTATAGTAGTTATAGTGAGTGAAGTAGCAGACAATTACACAGCTTTCTCTTTGGTTTTTAATGAGAGTGTAATTGACACACTATTCACTATTAGCTCAACTAAGGATATGATTTTACCCTTTCATCTGGAGAATCTATCCAAGGAATATGACCAGCAAACCATACAGCATTAGCTAATCATTTATTTAACCAGGGCAGGGCTCGCAAAATTTCTAAATCCCTGGTAGCCCTTTGGGCCGGCACTCTTCAGTTTTTGGTAGCCCAAAATAAATTTAAGTAGCCCAAATTAAAAA